TTTTCAGAGAAAAAATTCAATGACAAAGGGGGGTCTATAATTTTGACATACCCTGTATTTCCGACAAATTCAAAGTAAAGAGTTTTGACTTAAAACTTTATCTAAAGACAGATTTCATAGTTATTAGATAGCACTAAAAGTTTCAATGAAATTTTCAAGTAATCTAATCGTAGTCATAATATGAAATCAAATGGCGTTCAACATACTCACTATCAACTATTTTTTTTCTTGTCTCATTGAAATTCATTTTCGAAATGAATTTATATCTATCTTATTTGTCTAGGCATCAAGTGGTGATATACTTGTTTCAAGTAAAAAATTAGATCTTGATACATTTTTAAATGATCTTAAACAACAATATATATTTTTACCTGATCCTGGTTTAGAAGCTCCAACGCCTGTTTTCTTTTGTACAATTGAAACATATTCTGAAAGTGGACAAAAACAACTTGATTTTGCACTTAAAAATATTAAACGTGAAGATCCATCATTACGTGTACGTATTGATGAACAAACAGGTCAAACAATATTATTAGGTATGGGAGAATTACATATTGATATAATACGTGATCGATTAAAACGTGAATATGGACTTGAAACATATCTTGGTCCATTAAATGTTAATTATCGTGAAATGCTAAGAAAATTTATTAAACAAACAATTGTTTGGAATTCAACAATAAATGAAAAACATGCAACAATTTCTATAACACTTTCTATTGAACCAATAATTTTAGATGATAAGAAAATTATTTCATTTTCACAAATTCAAATTACACGAAGTGACGAACAAAATTTTGAATATTTAAAACAAGAACATGTTGGTATGAAATATTTTATTTAATAATTTCTTTTCATAAAATATTATTTTCTTATAGAAGCAATTAATCATGGTGTTCGTCTTGCTTTATCAACAGGTTTTTCTTTTTTCTTTTAAATTTTTTTTTTTAAATTTAATTATCGATTTATTATTAAATAGGACTTATCAAAGGTGCTGAAGTAGTCAATGTTCAAGTAAAATTACATGATATTCAATTAACAGGATATATATCACCAGCACTTTATTCAGCAGCAGCTTCTGATTGTGTTCGAGCATGTCTTCGTCATGCTGATTGTGTTCTTCTTCAACCAATGATGCGTGTCGAAGTATGTTATCGAATAATTTTCTTTATGATTTCATTATTTTTTTTTTGATTTAATTACATAAAAGGTTATTTGTGTGGCTGATCGTACACAGATTGTATTAGATGATTTAGCTCGAAGACATAGTCAAATAATTGATGTACAACAAGGTATTAGTGGTGGTTTACAAGAATCAATGAGTACTATAATAACAAGAACACCATTAGCTGAATTAATTGGTTATAGTTCAACATTAAGAACATTAACAAGTGGACAAGCAGATTTTACATTTGCTATTGATGGTTATGAACCAGTACGAAGTCATTAAAATTGAATATAAAATATTCAATTTAATTGAAACAGTTTATTATTATTATTTTTTTTTTGTTAGAAATATTTCTTGTAGGAAATGATTGTTTGTTTTTTAAATAAATTATATTTGTGGAAAAAAAAAAGATTTTTATACCTATTTTATATTAACTATGAATTGAAAATTACAATAGTAAACAATCAGTCTTCGCTCTAGTAGAGTTGTTAGTTATTAGTTCTAATATCAATCTTTTCTGACAAGACCATCATCTATTTGAATTCCATCAAAGTCAATGTTTGGAGTTGTATCGTCTATTTCAGTTAGAACCTAAATGTAAAATTAATGTGTAGTCTTTTGCTAACAGCTCGAAAACAATGTGATTACGATCTGACGTTGTGGAACATGTAAGAAGACAACGGTCACAATCATACACTAGTAACCAACTGGAGAATGAATGATGGAGTTCACAAAAATGATTGGTCATTTCGTAAAGTTCTTCTACATGGGAGAGACTTTTGTTAGAAATTGTACTAAAGTCTAATTAGGAAGCTTTTTGCATGTCAAATCTACTATCTGCTACCTAACAATACCAATAAAATCGTGAACTTTCTCAATTTAATGAAATTCATTTTGTTCATATAGATGAATTCTATTTTAATTAATATTTCTTGTGAATTTTCAATCATGTTAATATTGTTTCTGTTAAATTTTATATATGTCATTCTGTATACAAGTACTGATTGATTACATCTTGTTGAAAGTTCCAATATTTCAGGCAGACAATTGAAGACTATGCATAGTCGACTACCACAAAAACAACTAGATTTCAAAATATTTTTTATCTATTGGATTTTATAGAGCTCGTGGCGCCAATTATTTCGATAAAAGAATTTTTTAAATTTGCTAAATAAATGATGGTGCTAGAATCAAAATACTGAGACAGTTTTGTTCACAAGATCTATGATGATACTGGCAACATTATTTATTTATCAAATTTAAAAATTCCTTTTATTGGAGTAATCGGCAAGATAGGCAAAAAATATCCTGAGATCTAGTTGTTCTTCGTAGTTGACTATTTATAGTCTTCAATTAAATGTCTCCAGTTCGATGAACTTTCGTTTGGTATAAAATCAATGTTGATTTCTATTTCGAGGAATGCAATATTATTTTTTAAAATGATGAGAATTATAAAGGTTTTATATTTTTACTTTACTTGATGAAGACTGAAGTCAATTAATTTATTTGAAAAAGTCAAAAATGATGATTACAGTTGTGCATATTGTGATCTCAAAATCCTGATGATATCGATCTCTGATTTTCAATTAGATATCAAAACAGGGAAAAAACTTCTTCTATAATCTAACAGGTACGATCGTACTTGTCTGATCTGGATCTTTGTTCATTGATTTAAAATTTTTATATTTTAGTTTTTATTTTAAATAAAAAAGAATGGATACAACATAAGCAAAGAAAGACAGAAGAAGAAAAAATTCATGGCTAAATTTGAAAATAGGTTTGTTTTTTTTTTCTTTTTAGGTATTTAAAATATTTTATTTTTTAACTTTTTCAACAGCTGATGTTGTCTGTTGTTGTTTTTGTCTATCTGCTTCTAATTTACTTTGTTCATCTTCATATTGTTTAATTAATGTTGTTAATTCATCATCTTTTAACATTCGAATTGTTGTTTGATTTGTTTTATCATCATGTTGTAAAACAGCTATTTCAATTTTTTCCGGTGTTAATTTTGTTGTATCAAGTGTTTTACTAAAAACTCTTATAGCTAAACGTAATGCATCATTTAATTTTGTTTCACCTATTTTATATTCTTGTTTAAGAATTGATATAGCTGTTTGAGAATTATGACCAACACATGTTGCTTTCCATCCACCATAATTTCCACTTGGATCAGATTGATATAATTGATAACCATAATGTTTATCCCAACCCATATAAAGAAATGATACACCAAATGGACGTTTACCACCAAATTGTGTATATGCTTGTTTAATATTACATAAACGTGAAACAATATATTCAATTGGTGCTGGTTCTTGATATGTTAATAAATATCTAAATTACAAATAGAATAATTTTTTTTTTCTATTTGTTGTGAAACACATTCTAAAAGGAGTATAGACAATGTGCCTGTCATTATCAAGAGCAGTTACATTATATTTCATATTTTAATCTCGTAAGGATTGTGCTAACATCTTTTTTTTTTGTTTTTCAAATAAATTACCTTTGTCCAATCATACGTAATTCATTAATTAATACATTTGCATCACTAGTAATACCAGAAACAGAACAACAAAGATCCTCATGAATTTTATAGATTTTTTCGGAATATTTAACATCATCAAGTAATGGACTTATATTACGTTTTTCACCAGCAAGTACAACACCATTCTCAGCAAGAATACCTAATGATGCACCTGAATGTGATATAGCTTCTAATGCATATTCAACTTGATATAAACGACCTTCAGGTGAAAATATTGTTGCACGTGTATCATAACGACGAGCCATTATTAATATCTACAAATTAATTTATAGACAAAACAACGATTATTTATATTATTACGTGTAAGCGAGATTCGAAAGAAATATTAAATATACAAAGACAACAAAGAAAAAAAGAATATATTTGTACAGAAAAAAAAAAAAAAATTTTTGCTTTTCTTTTTTCATTGATGAACTTCTAAATGACGACGTTTTGGTTTTTTTGGATTACGTGAACGACTTTTAGCTTTACATATAGGACATATAGGTGCATTACGATGAATTTGTTGTTGACATGATTGACAAGTCTAAAATAAAACAAAATGATTAATGTTTAATTTTATGAAATTTTTATCTTTATTCACAAAATATTCGATCGTTTATTAGAAAGGGAATAGTTTTCTCGACAATCGGAACTTCGATTTTGCGTTGTGAGTAATAAAATTATACATTGACGTTGATATTTAATCGTTTAAACTGATCTCTCGAAACAAATAATGATAGTACAATTTCCAATTCGAATATAAATAGCAGATTATAACGGTGGTAATATTTTTATCATAGAACAGAATCCTTCTATGGATCTTTCTGAATGACCAAATCTGGGCAAGGTGGTTCCGGTTTCTTACGAGACTATAAAAATTTCAACATTTTTGGGAAGTAAGAATCCTCGCCATCCCCTTCCTTTAATCGGTAAGATTGACCAGGGCCAATACTTTTTCATTGGAAACAGTACTTTATATGGTCGTGTGAAACTTGCATCGAATGTCATACTTATCAACGATTGTAAACTAGGAAAGTGTGTAATATCAGAAAAAGTACGGTCCTACGAAGTCAAACTTTGCGACTCTGAAAAATTTTTTTTTTGATTGGTATATATACTTCTTTTTTGTGTAGTATTTGTTACTGAGAATGTCTCTCTGGTGTTTTCTTGAAACATGATTATGAATCTATATTATTATTCAATACTGAACATATGAACTATAAACTTGTAACTTTATAAGAGTAAAAGTTTCTTTTATTGACTTTGACTTAGAGTCTATCGTACTCGGTTCTGATGCACTTTTTTTTTATCAAGAATTAGACTATAAATTCACTGATCCTGATTCTCATTTCATGAATTGGTACAATAATAGTTTAACCATTCCTTTCATTGTTTTCCTATTGGTATTTAGGAGCACGAAACATAAATCTAAAAACTAATGCTCTTAATCTTACAAAAATTATTCCGCGAATGCCTATAAATATAGTAGTTCTAGTTTTACAGAACTCCAGTCTTAATTCAATTTGTTCTTATTCATTAAAAAATGAATTGATGTGTACGAAAGTAAATTCATATTCTGTAAAAAAGATCTATACCTTCATTGGTGGTGGTTGTTGACGAAATGTTGTTCGATCGACATTCGATCCAATACTACCAATAACTTTTGGAATATTTAATGTTGAAGTTTGTTGTTGATTATTATTTGATATTGAAATATTAGTACTTGTTGTATTAGCCATTTGTTGCGATTGAGGATGATGATGATGATATGTTATACCTAATGGAATCTGTTCATGAGTATTATCTAATCCTGTTGATGATAAATGACTACTTCGATTAGAAGATAGATCATGATCACCTGATTGTTGAGAAATTAATCTAAGTAAAAAAAAAGATTTTTTCTTTGGATTTTAGAATACAAAAAAACAAAAGATTAATACTAACTGCATTGCTACTAATGTTGTTTCATCTTCATCATGATCAGAAAGTCTTTCAAGATTAAGTATATCACGTAATTTATTTATTTGTTCTTTTATTGGTTGATATTCTTTTAATAGACGTTTACTATCTTGTAATGTTCTTATTCGTTCTTCTTCAGCTTGTTTTATTGTTGTTTCCATTATATTAATATCAGCATGTATTAATCTTAATTCTTCAATATGTGACATACGTTCTTGTACAAGCATATCAAGTTCTTTACGAAATTCACGTAAAACTTGATTTTCACGTGTAACTAATTCAGTATTTTGTTGTAAATGATTTTGAAGACGTTGAAATTGATTTTGTTTTTCTCTATTCAAGAAGGAAAAAAAAACATATATCGAATTTTTCAAAATTATTAATTATATAATAACAAACCCTAATTCTTTAATTAAATCAAGTTTACGCATAGATGTTACTAAATCTTTTTCATCAATTGATGGTGTTGATGAAGGAGTTTTTTCATTCATACTACTTGTATTTTCCATTAAAGTATTTTTACTTTCAATAACTAACACTAGTACGACAATTTTATATTCATCTACTAAAAGAAGCAAACAAAGGTCAAATAAAAAAAAAAAAACACGATGACCAATAGGAAAAGAGGGCGCTAGTATCGAATATTTATTTTTTAAAGAATTATTTTTATATATAAATAATAAAAAATTTTTTCTTGAAGATTTAATTAATTTTTAATAAAATATTTTCAATTTTAATATATCCTAAAGATTATTGTCAAGGGTATTTATCTATCAATGAGTAATTGAATAGATTTTGACAATCAATTATTCATCCTGATAAAGATTTGATTTTCAATATTTTTTTGTTTGTCGTCAACAATAGAAAGAAGACAAATAGTCATTCGAGTAGAGAAAATCTCAACAATCGAGATTCGGAAAACTAAAATACTATTTTTTCGGCACCTAGAATCCATAAATATAAACAATTTTCGACAAAATGAGGCGTCTCCGAGATTTCTGCAACGGTCTGATAATAATTTTTATTTCCTTATATTCTTTTTGGAAACAGTTTCCTCTACTCGAATTACTACTTGGAATTTTTCTAGTGAGATTGAAAACAAATCTTGTTGAATAATTTCGATACTAACTATATATATCTCGGCATGCATCGAGGATGTGAGTATAGGTTATTTTATTTATGTTACTGGGACTCTTTATGTAAATGACTCTGTTATTTGATATTCTTTATTTCATCATGATAGTCACAACAATATACAATTGACTGAGAATTCGATTGATTTGCAAGATTTTTTTGTTAATAATAAAGTTTTTGATTGTAATATTTATTTATTTTTGTGTAACTACACGGAAAAAAATAAAATAGTTTGTCTTTCATCAATGAACACATTGAGCATTTCTCTATTGGATTTGTAAAACGTTAGTCGCTGATATTTGAGAGAAAAAAATATTTGTATACATTACGGATTTATATAGAGTAGAGAATCACGAATTGATCGTTGGCAACAAGTAAAAAAAATTCTATCGTTTTCTCACGTAGTTGAACTTGTTTCAAATTACAAATCGATGAGCTCGATCCAATGGTATAACTAGACTTTCAGAGCTCAAACTAAGCTCCTGAAAACTCCAAAATAGTGACGTTTTATTACTTGATTATTCTGATTATGATTGTACTTTCGGTCGTAAATCAAAGGAAAAGCCGCAATTATCTTTTATAAAGTGGTTACACTGCTGTGATGCAAATTTTTATACCATTGACGATGATCAAGACAATGTTATAAACATGCTGAACATCATAGGGAAACAAAATATTCAGTAGTGAAGTGTCACGAATTCAAAGAAAACATATTTTCGACTGAATGAATTTCATCAGACAGTAGTGTAATCCAATATTTTACTGCAATAAGAGTATTGACTTTGGTTCCGTAGCTTTTTGTTCCTCTCTTTACAATGGAAAGTCTTCATAATCGCAAACAAAGAACAAACGTTTGTAAAAAAAAAAGAAGCAGCGGATTGAATGTGACTAACCGGCACTGTGATAAACGTCTAGAATAGTGTAATCAAAAATATAAAAAACAGGTCAACTAAATGACTTACTTGCTTTGAATGACTTCAATCTTAACAAATGTCATTTAAATGACTACTATTTGTTATGATGAGAATATTATAACAACATCGAATAGTTGCTATCATCTCAAACATTATATCACAAAATATATCTAGAGTCCTGTGGGAACGAATTTTCTCAATTCCTGTTCTCCGTTCCTGTAATGCATTTATAATTCTTATTAGGATTTTACTGATCGCGTTTGAGAAAAATTATCATTAGAGGTATATTTTAACAAAATAAATCTATTATTATTTATATGTTGTGAGTGTAGGTGCGGATTTTCTGTTTAGTCACATCCATATCCACACCTACGTTGCACACCCCACAAGCAGTCGTTAGAGAGCAAGTATCCGAGAGAGAAGTATCGCTGGAGCACCTGTCTTGGGTGCAACAGTCGTGCTATCGATATCTGCAATCATTTTGATTCTTAGTTAAAATTCAAGATAAAATCAAGAGTATAATTTTTTCTCAATAGACAAGCATAGAAAATTATTCCAATTCAGTACTTCCATCATACGTCAAAATGGATAAAATTGAAGATAAAGATTAGATATAAAAACAATAGTTTGTGTGGTATAGCTGTCGCTGCATGTTGCATGACAACTGAAGTTAGAGTACGTTTGCCTTTCGTCCGAAAAATACCTTTTTCTTCGATTTCTAAGTCGATATTACAAGAATGATATTGTAGTGGCAAAAGGAATAGAAAAATATTTAATAAAACAATGATTCTATTAACACATTCGACCCGACGTCGCCCACCGGTGGGCGACGCTATAATTTAACGAAAAATCGTATAGAAAAGCACTTTCTTTTGCTTTTTTTTAAGCAGGAGATTAGACGTAAGCTGTCATATCTTCTGTCTTCAGTACTTTGTTTGAATTCTTTATTCGATAGCATAATGCTTATCATTAAAACACTCGAGATAAAAAAATTTATCACAGTCAGAACAGAATGTTTTGACTTTCTTTGCTGCTGCATTGCTCGCTTGTCTTGACTGTTCTGCCCTTTCCTTCGCATAGCAGCCAGTACACCGTCTACCAACATTGCGCGTAGATCCTTCCTTTTCTTCGAGCTTGTGATCAGCGAATTTGCGTTTCGAATACCTTGCTGGTTGTTGCCTGGAGCCATGTTTCAGCTTCTCGATCGGCGTGCCAAGCAGTAAAGATTGGACAAGATTTTCACGAAATTGCAAGATGGTCACTTTGCTTTCGATGTAGTTCTCCTTGTATATCAAATAGCTATTTACTAGTGCCGTCCCAAAAACTAATTCAAATGCTACCTTTCGGTACCATTTTACTGATTTCCTGAGAGACGTGTAATATGTTGATAACTGGTCAGATAAATCAGTGCCTTGTCTTCCTTTATTATAATCTAATACGACTTGGGGCTTCATGATCGACTCATTTTGAAAATTTAATTTTCCACTATCTACTACACTTGCTGAATGTGACGATCTTGTAGATATCATCAAGACATCGTTCTTGTCTCGCCACCTAATTAATTTAATTCCATCTTTGTTCTGAAGTCCACAAACTTCTCCACGACTAAGATTTTCTTCAAGAATTCTACCTCCTGATCCAACACGATTCGTTCGTAATGTTCCAATGAGATATGTATCATGTTCCAACAAACATTCCGCCAGGGAAATACTGGTAAAGAAATTATCAGCTACGACGGTTCGATAACATCCATCAAGACCATCTAATAGTTTCATTACTACTGTTTGAGCATGTCCGACACCTGCCGTTGAATCTTGCTCACCGGTATAAATTACATAATTCCAAACATAACCATTGGTCGCTGCTAATTTGTACATCTTTACACCGTACTTGTGTGCTTTTCCAGGTATGTATTGTTTGAATAAAAGTCGGCCACGCCATGGTATCATACTTTCATCTATACTGATAATTGAGCCAGGCATATATACTGATGAAAATCTTTCTTTTAGTAAATCTAAGAGTGGCTTCAACTTGAACAGTCTATCTTGGTTCGAATTCTTGTCATTGTTATTCGAAAAATGCCAAAATTTTAGGAGTGATTCAAATCTTTCTCTTGACATGGTATTTTGAATGATCTTTGATCCATATAATGGACTAGAGCTCCAATAATACTTCAGCTTCGGCATTTGTACTAATCCCATTTCAATAATTATTCCAAAGAATTTGAACATCTCTGTATTAGTGGTTGGTTTCCATCGTTGAAACATTGATCGTCTACTGATCACATGACTTTGCAAGTATTGCTGTGCGTATCGATTAGTTTCACGAACCATAAGGTCAATAATTTCGTCCGTAATGAAATGTCGATAGCAGTCGATAGGATTAATTGTGTTATCTTCTGAAGTAGAAGTTACATCCCCGATAAGCCCATGATCTTCCAAGAATTCTGCATCAGATTCTGGTTCTATTTCATTCCAGGCATATAAATTCATATTATCGTTATTGTCTTCGTCAGTAATTTCTTCGTCAGAATTGTCAAAATCAAGGTGCGTTGTATCAAACTCATCATTCAGTGAACTCACTTCACTGAATGAACTAGCACTACTTTCTGTATCGATTTCTTCGAACGACATGTGAAGTGCTCCAAAAATTCGGTTGTATTTATATGCAAAACGATATAGATAAGAGAATAAGGGAGAAAATACTGGAAATTTCTTTCTTTTTCTCACACATGCTTCGTACAATATACAAAAGAACGAAAAACTAACTTAAGCCATTAGTCACTTGGTCAGTAAAAAATGACTCATTGTTTAGTAGTATAAACAAGAGAACGACAAATAACCAGTAGAATATAGCCAAAAGGTCATTAAGTGCATTTATTAGAAGATAATTGTTCACGAAAATGAACAATCTGAAAAAATTTTTACAAAAACTGAGTCGGGTCGAATGTGTTAATAAACTAAAGATATTATTCCACATCTCTATTTATTAAGATTTATGGTTAACAAGTGTAGTTAAGAGTACCCCTCTCTCTTTTTTGAACAAAGAACTCGATTTTGAATTGAGCATAAGATATGATAGGCTCAAGAGTTATGTGTAATTATGAACATCACTCGACTCTAAACACTTTACTGTTATAGAGTTACTGAATTAAAGAAATGTTTTTTTTATGTTACTTACCATAACGCAAAATTACAATTTTCTCAATCCTGGTTGCTTATGATTCCTCTTTAACTTTGCCCAATCGGACTGAAATTTTTACTACAGATATTATGATTGACGGTTTTCGTTTTTGACTTTCCTATTCAGATTGATAGAGTTTTGAAAGCCAATACGCCGATGTTAGCTATGGGTCTTCAAGTATTTCTCTCATAAAAAAAGGATAGAGTGAAATTTTTGGAAAATCTTTAAATTACCTCAGGAGGATATTTCCAAGTATCTGTGGTCAAAATTTCAGGGCAGGTGTATGTGTGTGTTTCGGTCTTGTCTTGGTCCATCCACACCCACACTTTCAACCAAAATGCAAAAAAACACTTAAGCAAAATCATCGTTATCAAGATATAAAATACAACAAGTTTTAAACTCTGATTGAGGACGTACGAAAATTTGAACTATGATTGTGTCATTTCTCAATAATAGCAATTTAATCCATGCTACGATATAATTTTAAAAAGCTTGCGTTATAATTATATTAGGCTGATACCTTGCCTATTTTTGTATGAATCATCACTCAATAAAATGGTTTCTATTCGCAATATCAATACTCTAAAAAATTAAGGCATTTAGGCAAGAGATTTCGACTGGCACTTCTGCATTTATTTTGCTTGAGGGTCTAAAATTGGTTATTTGTTGACACTTGGCACATCTAACTAAGACACATCATACATCTAAAAAGAGACGTATTAAGTGTCAACGGATGACCAATTTTAGACAGTCAAGCAAAATAAATGCAGAATAGACACTTGAAGGTCCTTGTAAGACGCATGGCATTTTTTTTAGAGTAAATAACTAATTCAATATTTTCATAAATGGATTTCTTATGCCTCTATAAAGGCGTCCATGTTTTTTCTTAATTCGTTTGAATCCTTTAAACGGCGACCGCACATTCTCAAGAAACAACAAGAGTGGCGTTAGTGTTCTGATTGCGCCAGCAATAGGAAATATTTCATTTCGAAATAATAAAATTTAATTTTGAGCAGAATATTATAAATAGAATTCGACAAGAAAGAAATAAGTATAGATTAAAGATATTGATTTATTGACAAAATCTGTTGATCAAAACGAGTTATTTATCAATAGGTAAATTTATTTTTCATAATATCATTGAACATATATATATTCAACAAAGATTTAGTTTAGAATAAAATCTAAAGAAGTTTCATTTAAACAAGAAATTTTTCACAAAAGAAATTAAAAATAGATTAGTTTAAACGTTGAAAAAGTTTTTGATAAAATATATTTAAATCTATCAAGAAATCTCATACTGTTATTCGAGATATTCATTTTCGTTCTCTTTTATTCGATCTATTTTAATTTAATTTTAGATTAGCTTTTGGAATTTTTCTCTATTTAGAAAAATGATTCAAGATCGAAATTCGAATACTGATTTGAAATGTGTTCAAATGGATAATTATATTTATATTGATCTAAAGTAAATCGTTTTCTTTGATGCTTATTTCGATCGACATCAATGTCAGTTAACAGAAACCTAAAGATAATTATTGTACTTTCTAATATTTCAAATGATTTCATATTAGTTTTATAAAATTTTCTCCAAATGAAATCGAGAGCTTAACAAACAGAAATCTCATGATTTAAAAATTGCTCAATTTTCTTTAAATTCTAATTTCAATTATTTGTTTATAATAATTAAAAAATGAGTCTACTTCTTTAAAATAAATTCTTCAATGAATTTAAATTTATTTCGAATTGGCAATGTTTTCATAAAAGCTATAAAAATAAAAACTTGTCATATGTCTAGTTAATCTTAATCAATAGTCCATGATTCAATTGAAAAAGGAAGTTTAGTTCTTTCTAGATTATTCTCCAGAAAATGATGAGAGGAAATCTTGATATTTTCTAACTAGAAATTCACATTGATATTGCTGTTACTTATACTTCGATATAACATTTTCAAAGCAGAAAAAAAGGAACCTTCACATAGATATATTTTGATAGTGTTGTTGGTAATTTTCTTTGCTTTGGTACATCGTTCATGTATAGATATGATTGTTATTGTTTGTCTTTCTTTTACTTTTATTATCAATAGGGATGGTGAACGATATTTTAAAAAACAACAAACTAAAATAGCATTCGAACTGCAAATTTTTGATGTTATTGCTGTTATATTCATATTATTAACGTGTGCGCTTCTCATAGAATTTTCGATATTATACATAAAAGCTCGAGCATTGACGACTGACCTCAATAATTCTTCGGCTTCAATATCTTGTTCATCTCTTAATGTGTCCACTTTGCGTCTGATCACATTTGATTTGTTTGGTGCATTGATGTTGACCGAATCTTCAATGAATCGTAATATTGCTTCTCTTTTACCGTCATTATCGTTGTCTGACGTCCAGAAATTTACAAAAGATTGGCTTAGTGCATATACTTCATTTTTTGGAAAATCATTTCCACCATCATTAACGCATCAACCTTTTCAGTGGGTTATTCATTCATCATTATTGCAAATTTTAGATTCATTCGGCTTGTCAAAAACAGTACCCGAAGGTAGTCTTACTTTCAATGCTTTATTGTCTGCATGGCAAAAATTACAACCTCGTACTGCTACTATAGAAGTTCTCACAAAACTGAGCAGAAAATATCAATTAGGAGTGCTTTCCAATGGTGATAAACAGACATTACAATCAGCCCTACGCGTTTTTCCATCTTCGGTCAATATCTCGTTTATATTATCTTCAGATTATCCAGTAAATTGTTTCAAAGCATGTTCAGCAATGTATGCTCAAGCATTAGCTGCAGTCGATGGGGATATAACAAAAGTTTTACATGTCGCTGGTTCAGCATATGATACGCATGGCGCCCTTATTTTTGGTATTTTTTCAGGTGCGCTAGATAAATCAGCCATACACACAAAACCAACACCATGCTTTGCTTTTGATAATATACTACAACTACTTTCGTTCTTTGATGTTTGAAAAAAAAATCTGATACCTGTACTTTCGTCAGCATGAGATTCACATCAATTTATATATAAAGCAACTATTTCGATTTCTGTATAACCATTCAGAAGTCGTCATTCAATGAACGATTCGAGATATATATCTGATACATTCGATTGGTTCATAGAATTGAGTGTGGGTGTAGGTTTGGATAGGATGGAGAGAATTCTCATATCAATATTCATACCTACCTAGACTTTTTATTGATATGTTTTTGAAGGATTCCGTCCTTTAATGTATTTCATGTTTTCAAACAGCTGTTCGATGATAACGGGTGATCGGAAAGTTTTTGCACAAAATGTTTGTTCACTTTTGACCAACTAGAAAGTATTTACAACGAGCCAAAAGTTATTAGTTAGAACCAGAATTTTGTGCTCTTTTCAAATATGGGTTTAAAAAAAATCTTGTTTCATTTTTTGTTCGAGAGTAATGAAATAATTTTTGAAAAGCCCGAAAAATTACTTTGGATAGAAATTTTTTCTGCACATTTTTGTATTCCTGCACTATTTCGATTCGAAACTAAAAGTTGGGATCTTTATTTATCTACCAACTTGTAGAGCAGAAGCTACCCTACAAAATGCACTATTTGAGATTTTTTTTGCCTTTCGATAAGGCATCTCGATTTTCGTTTTTCCTTGATAATCGTTGTTTGAAAAATCAGCTTTTTGACTAAAGACCGTTTTACGTTAAAAGAAACTCTTGACAAAATGTTTGTAGCTTCACTTGAGTAAAAGCTATCTACAAAACGACCAACTTCGATAATTTTTAGCATGTTCGAAAAGAGACTTATATGGCAAACAAAAACCTGTTACTTCACCATTAACAATAATTCTTCAGGCCTTTTCAAAAGTCCTTCACTATTCTTGACCAAAAATAGACACAATATTTCTAAGCTCATATTCCAAAAGAGTATAAAATTCTGATTCTAACTAATAGCTTTTGACTCATTGTAAATACCTTCTAGCTGGTCAAAAGTGAACAAACAATTTGTGCAAAAACTTTTCAATCGCCAGTTAGTGTCTTGTTTTTGGACGCAATCATAGAGTAAAGAACTAAAATAACTCAAAGTCAGAAATGGATTAGAATAAAAAGCGGATTATATAAGACTAAGCTTAAAATTTCACATGAAAGATGCCTCAGTTTTCTCTTAACCATCATGAAGAGTTGAAATTTACCTATCACTCTAACACTATGAATTACTGAAGATTTCAAAGAAACAGAAAAATACTTGAAGTAAGAAAAAAGATATTGTTTCCTACTCGAAGGAAAAATACGAAGTTCAAGATTTTATACTAAACTGTAAGTACCAAACTACTTGTCTCGAAGTGCAAGTATAAGTACCAAGTACTCTTTTTAAAGTACAAGTGCTCAGCAGGTGTGTTTGGTACTTGTACTTGTATTTTGAAAAAATACTTAGTACTTGTACTCTTACTTGAAAAAGTAGGAAAAGTACAAGAGCAAATATTTGTATGTGTGGGTGGGAGTGGATGCACGAGTGTCTGTCTTTTTATCTACACCTACACCCTAGTGATAGAAATCCCAAAAAACACGTTTCGCTATGGTATTTTCCCACAATTTTAGCACATTTCGTTTTAAATACGTACTTTTGCATTGACTTTTTTTGTTCTATTCCTATCTTTTCTTTATTCTTTTTTCTTATCTATTTTAATACGTAACCCTCTGTATATGACGATACACAATAAGTAAACGATAGAGCAGAAAAAAAAATAGGAAGCAGTAAAGCCAGTTTTCATTTCATCAAATGTTCCAAATAATCTCCTTCATTGTCCACACACAGACGCATTCACTGAATCCATTTATCGAGCGTTTTTTTTTTAATACTCTTGTTTACTCAAACAATTCATGAATTCCGTTATTGCATTGCATAATGATTTAGTATTATTTTGATCATCTATAGTTCGTTTGATAAAATCGAATAAACAAAAGTCGCATGGTGCCAAATCTGGCGAATTAGGTGGATGTGGTATTGTTATCATACTTTCTGATCTCAGATAATCTGATAACAGCCTTGTGAGCGTGGGGTTTGCTATTGTCATGATGAATTTTCATTGACTATGTGCTTGATAAAGGTCGTTGCTTCTTGATTTCATCAATAACGGGTTTTTGGCAATTTTCGATATATAGATAAGAAAAAAGAAAAGATAGGAATAGAACAAAAAGAATCAATGCAACAGCATGTATTTAAAACGATATGTGTCAAAATTGTGGGGAAATACAATAGTGAAACATATTTTTTTTTGGAATTTTTATTACTATGATATTATATAAATAGTGATCAAATAGCGTAGAATAATAGAGCTTTTTTTTCTCTATCATCAGGTAAAATAAGAAAATTTCTGAAAACCTTTTATAAGATTTTCATGAAGCTCCACCACTATTTATGGTATGCCCTAAATTAAGTCAAACAACGACTTTCTCTTGTTATAGAACATTACACTTTATTCATAATTTTCCTACTTTTTTCTATATAGATAAAATTTAAATGCTGTGATGCGACATCTATTAGAGCCACCGCTTCGCTCAGGTCCTATTGCATTCACGTTAACTAATAGCGAAACATGAATACATTTGCATACATACGTGTCTTATTTTTCTTCATACACGTATTTAATTGTATTTTTAATATCATATGACTAATCATTTAGTAATGATGAAGTAATTTTACGCATGAATAAAGGTTTATGCATGCGAGTTTTTTTATCTGAATATAACATAAAAACAATATGAAACAGATATCATTTCATCGTTTTGATTTTAGCATAAAACATGGCAACTATTACATTTGCTGTAGCTAATGTCGATGCATGTGCTAGAAGACATACTGAAACCGAACAACTATCGGACGTTGATTTAGCCCGATGGGCATTAAAAGATGAAAAATTATCACTCGAAAATTTTCAAACTAATTATCCTTTAGCTGCTGAACTTAATGGTCGTAATTATCGAATTAAAAATGCTTTTGTCGGTGCTATTTATGCAGCTTATTGTGATCATTATCCGCTTGAATTGAGTGTCGAAGACATTTGGGTTGCTATTGCACAGGGTATTGGCATTCATCTCAATCAAAATGCTGAAAAATATCGTCATTTAATGGTGTCACATGAAGGAAAAAAAGAATTAACATTGATTGTTGACAGTCTTAGAATACCAGATTCTGATCGACCAAAATACGGTAATAAATCCGTACCTGCTATTGATTGGTCAAGAGCTGTTCGATTGATGTGTGGATTGATTAAAGATGATATGAAAACAGATATGGCTACACTTTTGACAACTCCTTTTTCGGGTACAACACCAGTTGAACAAGCTGTATTTGATTGTACATTAATGGATACTGTCAAAGCTTATTATAAATACCGATGCTGTTTATTGTGTGGTATTCCTGAAGTAACATTACGTGGTTCACCAGATGATTTTC